ATGTATCTGCCTTTGTCCCGGAAGCCTTGGCCTTCTGTGTTGTCTGAAGGGCACTGAAGGGTGTCTTGGGAAAACCAGGCCTGCTGTCATTCTGCCTGCTTATGATGTGCATAGGATGGTGGACTTTATCAGAAGTACCAATAGAGAGAGCTTATGACCTATAGCTCTTGAAATATATATATATATATATATATATATATATGAATGTATCTTACTACATATCACATTTCCAGACTGATGTAGGGATTTTAGTTTATGACCATTCTCCTGTTCAGGTAACAAGACACCTGTGTTTCAGACCACCTTCCTGTCACAGGTAGGGATGGAGGTGCTAAAGTGGTCTCCACCTGCGTCCTTGTGGCATGCTCCTAGAAAGTTTCTTGCTCTAAAGCTTCTGAAATGTAGGTAAGGGAAACGTGCTTATTTTGCTTGACAGATTGTAAAAAATAGTTTCCACTACAGTGGGTTGTCCTGTTTAGAATAGTTTTTCAAGCTGAGCTTGGATTGGTTTTTCAGTCCAGAGCTCTCTACTGTTAGAAAGTATCAAGTGTTCTTGTTAAAACCCAACCAAAGACTTGGAGTACACAGAGCCCCTATGTCCCCACCCCGACATGATGATGTGAAGGGATGGCCTGGCCTGGGGTGCTGCCTGGTCTGTAGCTGGGCTGTTGCTTCTCTGTGGAATCAGCACATTGCTTGTCTCTTCCTTCCCTGCTCAGTGAAAGGGCTATGAGGTTAGGAGGCAGCTCCCTGGCCTCGCCCCTTCCACATGGTTCCAAATGCACTCTCCCATGGGGGCACTGCCTCGGAGGACAGAGGGGACACAGGGACACTTGTTTCCTGATCAAAAGGAGCGAGACAGTGTCTCACTTTAAGGCAAAACTGTTAGGCTTGCTGTCCAAACTCCAGTAAAGGGAAGATCTGGGGTCCTCACACCCCACTTTCTATGCTGCAACATGATGGTGTGCAGGTCCCTCCAGGCCCCCTTTGTGTTGTCCCTTGGAAATTAGGGTCAGGCTTTAACAAAAATGTTCATGCTCTGGCTCCTAATCTTACTAAGGATGGTGAATCTCTTTGCCATGTTTTCTGCCAGCATCCAGAGAAAACAGCTTCTTGCAGTTGGAGAAGAGCAATTGTAGCTGCTTAGGCTGATTGGCCAGAGTGACCAGTTCACTACAGGGCTTGGAGACATCCTTGGCTCAGCTCACAATGTGAGCAGAAATTGATTGCATCCCGTCTGTAGTGTCCTGGCTGTCACTGAGAGCTCTGACAGTTGACTAGAAGCTTCATTAAATCCTAGTCCCTAAGGAAAGCATGCTAGCACACATGCTCCTTTCTACCAAAAAACACATTTCCCTGTTTTTTTATACTGGACATCCAAGAGAGATGGCTTTATGCTACAGCGTGGTAACATGACAGGGCAAGCCTTGCTGCTTCTAGTAACCAATCTCTGCTGGGATGGGGTTCTTCTCCTTTAACCTACAACAGCTCTTGTGATGTTTTTGTAGCCAGCATTAGCAGTTTTCTCTGGGTATGGACTGCTACGTCTAGTTCTAAGTTCCTTTTGGTTACCTTCCTTACGCTCAGTAATCCAAAATCTTCATTCACTATACAACCTTTTAAAAAGTATTTGCCTAATTTTTGGGCAATACCAGGTATTAAATTCAGGACTTTTACACTGCGTTATACTCCCAGCCAAAGTTGTTGTTATTGTCATTATTATTATTCTTGAGACAGGCTCTCACTAAGTCATAGAGTTGCCCATGCTGGCTGGCCCTTATAGTCTTGATTATCTTTTTTTGCCTCCCAGAGTTTAAGGATTACAAGAAGGAATGTGCCATCATTCCCAGCTATATTTCTGAAACAGGCTTAAAGTTATAGAAAAGTTGAAAGAATAATACAATGACTTTCTGTATGTAGTCACAGGTATGTATCTATGGGCTCCACATCCTTAGATTTGACCAGCCTGGATTGAAAATATTCAAGAAAAAATGTTCAGTGCATCTGTGCTAAACATCTGGAGACTTTTCTCTGAAGCATAGAGCATCAACTGTTCACATAGCATCCACAGTGTCTTGGATGTCATAAGTAATTGAGAGGTGACCTAAGATGTACAGGGGGCTGTACATAGGGCACAGGCAAGTAGGATACCCATTTTTGTAAGGGAATTGAGCATCTGTGGGTTTAGGGTCTTTGGAGCTGTGGAGCCAGTGCCACATGGATACTAAAAGATGACTGTCCTTGTCACCTCAGACCCCATTCAAGTGTTACTCCATGTCTGAGCAGTAATGTCTACATGGCACAGTTACACTGCCGGAGCCTGCCCTGCACCTGGCTGTCCTGTCCCTTGGATCACACTGGATCAGCTTCCCTTGCCTCTTGGCTCTCTGTGCCTTGTTGCTGTGAAAGGCTGTGGCCAGGCACTGAACAGGTGGTTAGGACAGGCCCCTTTGAACAGAACCAGTTCTGTACTCCAGTCTCACCAAGGTGACAGGAGGGTGTCTGCCCCAGTGGTAACATTGCTAATGTTAATCCCGTGGTTTAAGCAGTGCCAGATTTCTTCCCTGCAGCCACTTCCTCATGTGTAACCAAACAGTACTTCATGGGACGCTTTGGGAAGCATGCAGTTGTGCAACTCGTTCCATTCTGACCTCCAGTGTTACAGCCTGTCATCTTTATTCAGTGCTTCAAGGGCTGTCAGCGATTCTCTAGTTGTATCGCTCCTTTTTTTTTTTTTTTTTTGTATTTAACGTAGGGTCTACAGGGTCTCACTATACAGATCAGACTGGTAGTGATCCTCCTGCTTTCAGCCTCCCAAGCGCTGGGATTACAGGTGCACGCCACTATGGTTAGTCTCAATCATTGTCTCAGTGTGCCCTGGGGGCGGAGCCAGCAAGGCAGGCCAGGGATCAAATCCCAGCCCCTGTGTCTGCCTGAGCAGGCACTTGAGTCTGCTGAGCTATTTGGCCAGCCCATTCCTGCATGTACTAGTTTGCATTCTTCCTTTAAGAGAAATCTATCCCTCAGTGGTTTATTCTATTAATATTGGCTTAGGGTCATGGCCCCTATGTTACCCAACTGGTTACAGCCTATTAGAATATTTACTTTGGTGGTCAGACTCAGATTTGGCCAGTAGAAGTTGCTTTAGTGTATTTTCAGTCCTTTTAATATGGTCTTGTGATTCCTTGAACCCTTTTTCCTTATTTTCTGGCACTGTAAATTGTTTTTCCCACCCTCAGGATCTGATCTTTGTCCAAGCGGCCCTGCGTCTCTCTAGTGGAGATAGACATTTAGAAACAAAGGGCACAATGGTATGTGTATGCACTTCCACCTAGCAAGCAAGCCGAGCTGGGAATATGTGTGTGTATGTGTGTGTGTGTGTGCATGTGTATGTGTATGTATGTGTGTGTACACCCCCCTGTCTGCATCTATTTGCAATGCCTATTTCTCTGTGTTGATCTTGGTTCACACAGGTGGCCCACAGCTCTAACTGCACAATTCCTGTAGCTTCTCTCTATCTGCCTTCTTGGCTGACAGGGAGGCACCTGGCGCTGCCACAAGCATCCTCTGCATATTTATTTAGTTGGATTTCTTGGCCCACCAAATGTGTTCTTACAATATCAACCTACTACTATTTTTTTTTATTTTTACTATTTTATTTTAAATAGAAAAGATATACCTACTGCATCTTACACCTCTCTTCAAACCTCTTACCCTATTTTTAAAGGACATTTTATCCTTTGGAAAGTACAAGGTTTATGCTACTGTAATACAGAAACTTATCAGTGAGTCCTGCATGACCTATTGTCACAAATGTGCTTAGAAATGTTAGATCCATTCATTTTCTCTAATAAAGTTTTTATTCAGTCTTCCCAAAAAGTACAAGAAGGAAGGTAGCACGGAGGGGGAGAAATCCTACATGCGTGCAACCAATTGTGTCCCCCAAATTCACCTGTCGTAACTCCCAAAGTTACTGTACTTAGAGTTGGAGCATTAGGAAGATCGTTAAGGTTAAGCATGGTCATGGTTTAGCGCCCTCATCCCGTAAGCCTGCATTATGTGAGGAAGAGACACCAGTGACCGTTCGGTCATGTGAGGACATGGTGAGAAGATGCCAGATGCATGGAGGGGGGCTTTGCCAGCACTGAGACTTGGATGTTTGACCTCAGAACTCTAGGAAGATAAAGCTGCTTGCTTTAAGGCCAGAAAGGCGGTTTCTGCAGTGCCAAGCAGTTCTAGAGCAGGGCTCACCAATAAGGAGTTTCCCAGAAACTGAGAATAGAACCAATAGCTCTGTTAAAAACACTATAGAGACCGGGCGTGGTGGCGCGCACCTGTAATCCCAGCACTGGGAAGTCTGTAAACAGGAGGATCACTGTGAGCCAGATCTATGTAGTGAGACCCTGAACATCCTGTAGACCCTGCCCTAAATACGGAAAAAATAAGAAAAACAATATGGAATGAAAATACTTTTAGTTTATCTGTATGAAGAAAAGAGTCCTGTAATCCAAGGCAATTGTAAGCAAAATTAAAAATGGACTTTGTGTTGTTATTGTCTCTCCCAGAGAAAAGGTATGTGACAAAGAGTAAGTTTTTCATGGTTCCTTAGTTCACATTAACCAGAGTGTTCACACTGGCAAAGTAAGATGTAAAGACGTGAAGGCTTGTCTTTGGAGCTGCAGCGTAGCTCGGGGTAAAGCACCTGCTTAGTGTTCACGAGCGCCTGTGTGGGAGAAAGCCTGTCTTCAGGCTAATAGAGACATCTTTTCCTTCTGAACCGCAGGTCAGTGCTTGACCGCCACCTCATTTCACTTGTGCATTGATGCAGAGCCCTCTGGTGAGAGCGCCCTGCCCTCCTGAGCTCTGGGTTTGTGCCTGTAGGACACACACTGACATTGATTCCTGAGACAGAGCCAGCACCTGCCCTGTGTTCACATTTGACAAACAAAACACAAAGATACCCAGGCAGAGAGTATTGCAAGTTTATTACTTCATTTCAATATTCAAGAACAGTACATGGGCCCGTGGCCATTTTGCAGCCCCTGCTGCCTGGACGTAGCCATGGGTGGATTCACTCAGCCGACCTCAGTGCAGAGAGGGTGAGTGCTCATTTGAAAATTTGGAGGGTTTATTTCCAGAATTTTGTTCCCTTCTTCTAATATATTAATAGGTATTACTTTAAACCCACACTAAACATTTGGAATTAGAACGGGATTAAAAAGATGCATTCTGGCATTACATAGACTATTTACTCTGTTTCTTTGTTCTAAGGGAGAACAGTGCCAGGATGAGAGTCTCAGGATGCTAAATCAAAGGGCGGGGTCAATGGGTTAGCGGGAGACACGGGTCAGCAGAAGTCAGCAGAGGTTCCATTCAGAGGCTTCCTGCAGCCCCGTGTCTTCATTAGTGACTCAAGGAGGAGCACTCCAAGGTCATCCACTAAGGGGGTCCTTTGTAGGACAGGAAGTTATCTTGTCATTGCTTGTTAGTGTGTGCCAATAAACACTGCCATTGTGAGCTACAGATGGTCACACCCAACATCAAGAAGTGACCAGATGACACTGTGAGGACACCCAGAGAACTCCTGCAGTCCCACTCTGAGATGCACCATCTCCCTGGACTCTCCGCCTGGGCTTTGGTGGGGAAACGGGATTCTTGATGGTGGCTGTTCTGGTGGCCACTGTGCAGAGCGACAGTGCCATCCGGAGGCCACACCTGCTACATCTTCAGCATCTTAATTGCCCACAGTCCGCGTTTCCCACTGGGGCCATCGCCCAGCCCATTTGCCTCCTTTCCCTCCCTCTGCCACACTCCAATTCAGCTGGTGGAGTGTGGGGTAGCCGGCCTGGAGCCCCCTCTGTGCTGCCCCACACTGGACTCTCACAGCTGCCCTGCCCACATCCACATACCGAAAATTCCTTCATGTCGAAGCCACTCCTTGACTGTCTAATCCTGTTAGGAAAAATAAAATGTACTCTAGGAGGTGAGAATGGCGGGAAAAGAAAACAAAGGAAGCCTGGATCATAACAGTCGCCCCACGCCCGCGTTCTCTGGTTCCACGCTGGGGTGCCTCAATGGCAGTATCGGCAAAAGCTCGGGGTGCCCCGCAAGGGTGAAAACCAAGTCTGAGGATGGACGGAGGTGAGCTGGGAGGGGGTCGGTGCCCTGGGGCCTGTGGAGAACTGACTGCGGTGCACTGGGCACGGAGAGGGCGGGGCCGGCCAGGGAACTCCGTCCTCATCGGAGATGGCAGTTTTCACCAGGTTTGTCTTCATCTTCTCTATTTAACGGTTGGCTGGAAATTGCCGTAGGTTGCTATGTGCCTGGCCCACTGTGCACACAACTCGGCAGGATTAGGTGACAGGTGATCTGCGCTAGCTAGCTAATCGATACAAGTGGAATTAAAGTTTAAGGCAATTAGGTTAAGAAGCTGAGGACAAAACTCGGTAAGGAACAGGCAGAGGTTCAGCGTCTTGCCATGGGAGATCCAGAGCGGCTGTCTCTTCCTCCCTAGGAAAAGGGAGAGACACAGTTAGGTGGGAGCTGCTGTCCCCACTGGGTGTCACTGCCCACCAGCGTGCCCTGTCTGTGGTCACCTGACAGCGAGTCACTTGGGACTCCCACCTGCATCCTGCACCACATAAAGTGATGTTTTCTTTCCACCTCCACACTCTCCTTTAGCAAGTGCTCGTTGGGATTGCAGAACTGCACAGTAAAGGCACATGAGTCAGAATCCCAGGACATAGCTGGCTGGTGGTGCCCACTGTGACTGAATTTCTGTGGGCAAGAGCTACCTGGGCTGCTGCCCTTTGATGGAGCACTTTATTTCTCCAGCTAAAAAGCCCAAGGTAACCGAGATAGGAACGATGGCACCTTTGCAGAGATTTAGTGTCATGTACACCAGAAAAGAACCCGGCAGGGCCAGGGCTGTCCTGGCACAACCTCCTCTTGCTTGTCTCCTACACACAAGCAGAGACAAGTCCACCACACAGAGGGATGGCTGCACAGGGACTGTAAGTGTCTGAAGGCTGTGCTCTGGTGTGGAGTTTGCACTAACACAATTTGAAATGAAAAAGAAGAGTGGGTAACCAGATTGAGTAGGAGCCCGTGTGGACAGCGGTGGGAGTGAAGATGGCTGTGGGCCTCGTGGAGAGGCTGAGATGGCTTGTTGCACCAACTGCCATTCAGACTGACCTGGGGGAACTATACTGCTCTGGCTAGAGTTTTATTTATTTTTTTCTTTCTTTGTTTGTATTCAAATTATATTCTCTTTCTCCTTGACTTCCTTATCTCAGGTTGTGGGTGAAAAACTGACCTATCAAAGACTTTGTTTGGACCAGGAGCCCTCTGGAGGCAATGGGCACCAGCAATGTGCTGTGCATAGTGTCCAGTCCTGCACTGTGGCCCCGCTAGCCCACTCACTTCTGTGCACTCTGGGTCACTTGGGATGCAGACTGAAGCCAGAGACGCTTCCAGAGGAGGTAGCAGGCTAAAGCTTGGGCCCTTGCACCCTGGACTTCCCCCGAGGACACTCGGTGTGCTAGAGGAGCCTCTTTGTGTTGACTATGTCCTCTAAGAAATGTGGTTTTCACACCTGAGACTGTATATGGAAGTCCAGCCTTTCAAGCAAGTGCTCGTCTAGCAATCCTTCCCCTCCTAAAAGAAAGCCACTTTCCCAGGGGTGTGAGTGGCCAGAGACTCAGGCACAGGGGCCTTGTCCCCAGAGGGTAGCTGGACTCTGCCTGAGGCTCTACCTCACATCCTAAAGGCTGGCATCTGTCCCTTCTAGAGGGAACTTCGTTGTTGTGCAAACAACACTTTAGAAAACAAAGCCCAACTGAGCTGGGGCGGCATACAGGTAAGACAGGTAGGTACAACTTTGACTCTTCAATGCTTCTTTTTGGAACTCAGTGCTGGACACATGATGTCACTTTCTGTCATTGTGCCCACAGTTCACTGAGAACCTACTAGGAACAAAGCCTCACTTATCTGTTTTCTCCTTTGTACTCACTGCTACCCTGTAAATACAAGCTCTTAGCCTCTTCATAGCTGAGGAGTCCAAAGGTCAGGGGGGCAGAGTCCTTTGCCCAAAGTCAACCAGCAGGTAGAAGAGACCCAGGAGGGGAAGTAGCAGTGTGGCTGCTTCTGTCTCCCTTGTTCTCTTTGTGCTTTGCACCTATTTGCACCGTTTGACCTGTGCTTGTGAGCACTGGAGACAAGCAGGGCTGGGCTCAGGCGGCCAAGTTCGCTCCTCCTCCCCCTGCCCGAGGGAGGGCAGCTGACGGAGCTCACAGAGAGCATGCGCCCACACCTCCTCCCAGGGGCCACCACAGCTGTGCAGAACACTCTAGGAGGCGAAAGTTCCCTTGCCGCACTTGGGAATAAGACATGGTTCCTAAGTGGCAGAAGGACCTGATGGGTCTGTTAACCCCAATCCTGATGCGATACTGGAGGCCAAATCAGAGCCCATGCCTGGCTGCTCCTTTCTTGGAGCGCAGGGAGAAGCAGGAAGCAGCAGTGGGCCAAGTGACACTACGGTGCCAGTGCCCCAGAGTTCCTGCCGTCACCACCTGCCTGCCTCCAAGTCCTGCTCATGCCATTGCCTCCAGCCATTTGACCACAGGAGGCCCCTCTGTACTTGGGCTTCTTATGTAGTAAAATTAAATTTTACTACATAAGAAGTAGTAATTTAAATTTTAAATTTAATTTAAAATTTAAAATTAATTTAAATTTAATTTAAAATTTAAATTTAAAATTAATTTAAAATGTAATACTGTAACCGTAAGTATTAAAATTTGTCACATTTGCTAAAGTTTCCCTTGAACTATATAGAAATTTAAAAATTCTACAAATCTTACAGAAAGAACTTTAGGGGAAAACTTGAGCATATTTAAGAAAACATGGGCTGCACACACTCATGTTACCTGCACATAAAAATGCAAGGTGCTCACCATAGCTGTTCTGTTCTCCGGAATATGGCCATGGCCAGCTCTAGCCTCCCAGAGACCCGTGGACAATTCTTACGTATGTCACCAAGGACTCACCAAGGACCACATCTTCTAGGATGAGCCTCTGGATGGGCTAGGCCTCCGGAGCCATAGCTCCCTCTCAGCAGGTCTAACACTCTCTAAGCAGCTGGGCAGTGGTTAGTGACGCAGATGGGACAGAGTAGGACAGTCTGGGGCTCTCAGGCACAGGTGTGGTGGCCTAGGGCACCTAGGTTGGGTTGGGTGCCCAGTGGTTCAGGACAGGTGGTGATCTGGCCAGTGCTGAGTTCACCCAGTGACACTGCTGTCTTACACCATGCCACTGTCTCATCCACACTCAAAGCAGGCTATATCAGGAAAGTCCTCTCCCTTGAATATTTGGGCTCCTTTATTTTCTTCCCTGAATAGTCTTAGTGTGTACCTGGATTGTGAGTCCTGCCTATACTTTCCCTAACATAATGAAGGCAGCAGCTGCGCTCCCTTTCACTCGTGGCGCACATCTGAGGCTTTTCCTGACTGATTTTCCACAGAAGCAAGGCCATGCTGCCTAGCGTCTGTGTGGGGTCCACATGCCTGTCAGCACCAGGCCGAGGCATAGACACACGTGCCACCAAGACACCCTGACTTCTGGGCAGGGAGCAGCCTGTACACACATGACACATAGAACTAAAGAACAGGTGGCCAAATTCAACACCATTGGTGTTGCACGCCAGATCGCTGGCCTATAAACAGTGAAACCCTGATGTTTGGATCAGCAATTAGGAAGCGTGAGGAAGAGGACTGGGGTTCCCATCAGTGGTAATTTCATGGACAAACCCTCTGCACCTCCTTCTCCAGAGCACCTCAGAGCTCAGTGTCACAGGGACAAAGGAAGAGCATAGGACCTGCTTTTTAGCAAATACATCTCAGGGGGTGTGAGCAATCCACATCCAGTGGAACCCCTTTGGGTCAAACTCCATTGCCTGCCAGCCTGGTGGACATCCCAGAGCAGGCCAGGGGGTTCCTTTCTTATCAGCTGTAACACCCGACACCTGAAGCCACAGACACTGGCTTCCCGAACACACAGCAGCTGCCACTTGAAGCCTCGTGGTGGACAAGCTGAACACGGAGGAAGGAGCAGCAGTGCCTCCTGCACCAGGAGCCAGGCCCGGGAGACTGCTGTGAGGAGAAGGACATGCTCATGTTCAACCCCACTGCCCTTGCAGTCCACCCTTCCCTGCCTGCAGAGACTCCCGTGGGAATGCTAACCTCTCACTGTGACAGACAAAAAGGGCATCTTTCAAGATTCAAATTTTTCTGACTGTGTTGTGACATTGCGGATTTATGCTTTACTGTCTGTAACTGACAAGCTCTGACTTGCCGGCGCCTGCCTTCTTTACTGTATCTTCAGGTGGGTGAAGAGGCTGACTTTGCAGAGCCTGCAGGCGATTATGGTAATGACTGCTCCACATCAGCATATCAGCGGGGAGCGCCTCCCCATGGCTGTTTAGGAGTAAGGAAAAATGGCACCTTGGGCCATTACAATGACTGTTAAGTAAGGACATCAATTTGGACAATGTTCATTTGGTGACAGCAAGTGCCATCAATATTGAGCTCAGATGCAGAGACAGAAAATTCTCCCTCAGAGCCCTAAAGAGCTCCTGGGTTAAGGTGCTGTCTCCAGGGAGAGGTGGCAGTTTACCTCACCCAGCTCCCTGGGCATCAACCGCCGAACCCCTTAAAGTGCAGCTGTACAAATCCCAAGGCCTCTCCTTTATCATCCAGCCCAGAGAATCCCAAATCCAATTATCATTTCCCCTCCTCTCTGCCGAAGACACCTGATTGGAACTTCAACATTACCTTGCAAGCCACACCTGTCACTTGGCCCCTAGAACTGCTTGGTGCCAAGATTTGCCTTCCCCGGGACAGTCGCCCCTCCCTGTCACCACTCCTTCCCTGGAGCCCTCTGAGCCTTCTCCCATTTGGCTCCTGCCTAGAACTATTCCCACCTTGCATGGCTGAGTCCTCATGTCCTTCAAGTCTAGGCAAAGTGTCATCTGCTACTCAGGGTGCTCCCTGGCTAGCGTGTGTGGTTGTGTTGACACTCTCTAACACACTGTGGGTGGAGACTCCTCATACCCTCTTCTACCCAATTGATCTTGCTCACTTTGCACCCTTCACCCTTCTAGAATGCAAGCCTTACCCCAGATTGTCCCTTCTGTCTGTGCTGCCGCCTCAAGCATCTGGGTACCCAGGTGCCATGTAGTGTGTGGTTCAAGAGTATCGTTGAGATCCTCTGCCTGGTTCTCACATGCACACCCAGCTGGAAGCCAAGTCCCTGTGCCTCGTGGGGCTGCTCCTGGGTAGCTTGCATCCATCTTACTGGGAGCAAAGGTCACCTGGACTCCTCCAGAGTCCCCTTCCTCTGGAGACCAAGACCACCTTAGGATGTCCCTTTCCCCAATGCTTCTAGCCTCTGAGCATCTGCGACGATGTTTACATATATACTCTATGTGCAGGGCCTGTGACTTTCCTGTGTCAGCAACCCAGGAGACCCTTGCCTGGACATTCCTATCACCTCCACAAGTCATGAAAAGTCTCAAATGAACAGAAGCTAGATAGGATCTCTACACAAGAAGTAATCTAGAATTGAAATATGGGTAAAATGGACAGGCAAAGGGGCCCTCTCTTGGCACAAGATCTCAGTACAGGTGACCTGAGGCCCTTAGGGTGGCTGTGGAAGGTGAGGAGAGGCTGGAACCTAGGACAAGGTGGCCTGACCCCACTGCTCCCCTGACCCCAGCTTCTCAGAGCTGTGTGACTTTGGCCCTAGCTAAAGGCTCTGGGACCTCAGGGAGCCCCATCCTAAGAGGGCAGCCCATGTCCATTCCAAAATGTCATGGGACATCAGTTCCTTGGCTGGGCAGAAGGCAGTTTGGGTCTGGGCTCAGAATAAAAGCTGGGCTGAGGTGTTCTTAACTGGGGTGCAGAGCTCCAGATGCCCTGTGGGCTCATACAGTGCCCTGTTCTGGATGGAACCATGCCCACTGCATTGCCCTGTCACCGTCTTCTACTTTCCCCATGATTTTTATGACTCCTACTTTGTCCATGAAGAAACTCAGTTTCAGTGAGCTCACAGGCCCCAGCTAATGAGCCCTGGGCCCGTGTGCATACAGGATCTGTATAGCCTACAGGGCCCATTTCCTGAGCTTCAAGACTCCCACCACCCATGACTTCAGCGAGCCTTCCTCCTCCCTGCAGGCCTGGCTCCTGTTCCTGCTGCTTTTTTGGGGCTTTTACCAGCTGCTCCCAGGGAAGCTGTCCCCTCTGCCCAGCAGGGGCCTTCCCAGAGATGGAGATCAGCAACTCCACCTGACATCCAGTTCAGTAGCCCTCACAGAGTGCTGGTACATAGAACCCACATGACTCTGTTTTGAAATACAGACAAAGGTAAAGCACATGCACATACCCCAGTGACCACATGATGAGACAGAGAAACTTGGTGAATGACCAAAGAGGCCAAGAAAGCTCCAAAATTATGTTAAACATAAGGCAGCATAATCTCATCGGCAAGATGAAAGAAACAGAGTGAATAAAACAGAAGATAGAGGCACATGCCCAAACCGAAATGCAAATAGAACCAGCAACACATGTACAGTGGCACACATGAGAGGAACTGGCACAAAGGGAAAGAAGCCACAGTTGACAAGCAAAATCACAGTATCTAGGAAGATCTACCACAAAATTCAGATTCAAAGATCTAAGCCAAGACCTAATAGGTGGAGGCAACCAAACACAACAGGCTACACATCAAAAAGAGATCCCTTTGCATGCTGAGGACTAGACACAATGGAGCCCAACATGACACAACTAAGGATGAGCTCCAGGCTCTCTGTGCATGGACAGAGGAGACAAAAGCCCAAAAGCAACAAGCACAAGAAGAGACTAAGTGCCTGTGGAGACAGATGCCAGAGGAGAGCCAATGCATGCAACATGCAGAGACAAAACTAGCCCTATGCATGAAGGCTAAAGCCAAAACAACTCAAAAAACAAAAATAAACACAAACAAATGATTCTATGGTCACTGGTAGAACTGAAACTACAAGCCAAAGAGGCAGAGAGTGACCGCAATAGACAGGCACACGACAGACACACCAAGTGTAGGCCATATTAGGGACAACCCAACATGGCATGGAGACAAATCTACAAGGCAAGTGTGCCTCCTTGGTGAGGAGACTGCATGGCTAAATCATCTGCCACAAGGAAGGCATGTGACAAAGTTCCAGCTGTGAAGAAAAAAAGAGTGATGGGACAGCAGCAGACAGAACCTAAATGTGCTCATGAAAAGGCTAAAGGGAAACTGAGGTGCTGACAAGTGAAGGCCAGTGAGATGATGAGGCCACAGCCACAGCAGAGGAAATCATAGAAGAGCTTGACACAGGTCAAAGCCAAAAACAGAAACAAAAAGTGGAGACTTCTCCCGTAAGATGCCAAAGGGGAGAGAAACAAAGCTCCTTGGGAAAGATGACCAGGAGGAAAGATGTAAGCAAACAGAAGAGGCTCTGATTCAGGGCCCAGACTTAGGACTGTCAGATATAACCAAATCTTCCTTCCCATAAGCCCATGAATTTAAAAATGTCCAATGACATGCTTGTCAGACTCAATAGACCTTCGTTGGCCCCCCATGTTTCTTGGTGCTTGCTGCCACCATGTTTTTGATGCAGGAGGCTCACAAGGTGACTTTGGGACAACTGACCATCTGAGTACCTCCCTCAGCTATAAGCTAAATGGACCAGATGGGACACCACTGGTTGTCAAATCTGAGGATGACTTAGTATCAGGGGCTCTTAAGTGAAAATCCTCACATAACTCTAGAGATAATAAACACTTGACAGTGAGCCACTTTGCTCCCAGTCAAATGGGGAGACCCCCCTCATGATTGTGTGGTTATGCTAAAAGGGTCCAACCAACCGGATATGCAATGGTGGTGACTCAACGCTGTGGTAGAGGCCCAGCCTCTGCCTACCAGAACCTCAGCCCAGAAGACAGAAGTAACAGCCTTGACAAAGGCTGTTTTGCTGAAGGACAAAAAGGCTAGCATCTGTACTGACTCCAAATATAAAAAAGGGGGGCTTCTGATGACTGGGGGAAAAGATAAAGCAAAAAAACATTTTACAACTTCTAGATGCTGTATGAGCCCCAAGTAAGTGGCCATTATACACTGCAGGGGACACCAGAGGACTCAAACAATAAAAGCCAGAGAAAACCAAAAGACAGATTGGGAAATAAAGCAGGCTATAGATGCCCCATAAATGAGGCGCCCTAGCTATGCCCCTCATCCTGGAATTGCCCTCTGAGAATCCCAAAATTACTCTCCAAATAAAACAGTCTTGTTTGCTTGAGAAGCTAAAATATATACAAAGGTGGAATAGTAAGAGCTTGCTGAGGGGCTAGCTATCCTGAAGTGCTAGGCCCCGGGTCCATTAGGTGTCCCACGTGGGAAAGGCAACATTACAGACATTACAGGGTCAGCATTTCTATGTGCCATGACTCCCCCAGTCACTATGCTGTTTGTAAACAATGCTTGATCCGTGCACAAAGCTACTGCAGGCAAGGGTTCACCTGGGCCCAGGGTCACCAGGAAACAGGAGCTATCCATGTGAAAACTTGCTTACAGATTTTACTAAATTGCCTCAATCTGATGGCTATCAATATATGCTAGGGCTTGTCTGTGCCTTCTCAAGATGGATAGAACCTTTCCCCACCTGAGCAGAAAAGTACAGAAGTGACCAAGGTGTTGGTAGGAGACATCGTCCCAAGATTTGGACTGCCCCATCCTTGGAGTCAGACAGAGGAACCATGTTGTGGCCTAGACAGTCAGAGTTCACACAGATGATAAAGATAAAATAGAAGCTTCACATGCTCACAAGTCTGTTTGTTATAATTCTCTCAACCAGATAGGGAGCCAGCCACCATGACAGGGAAATGCTGAAGACACTGATGCTCTCTCTCTCAGAACTTATTGGAGAAAGCCTCAAGGAGAGGAACGAAGGGTTGCCAGATAGCTCAGCAGATTAAAGTGCCTGCTCAGGCAGGCGCAGGGACTGGGGTTCGATCCCCGGTGTGCCATGCCGGCCCTGCCCCCCAGGGTGTGCTGAAACAGCAATTGAGACTGGGTGTGATGGCGCACACCTGGAATCCCAGCATTTGGGTGGCTGAAAACAGGAGAATCACTATGAGTCTGATCTGTGTACTGAGACACTATAGACCCTGTACTAAATATGAGAGAGAGAGAGAGAGAGAGAGAGAGAGAGAGAGAGAG